TCCAATAATGGGAGACTCCAGAATGCATAAGCTTCAGGCATGGCTGGATCCAGCTGCTATCCTTTGAACTCTTTCTCTGTCCCTCTCCTGGCTCCGTTTGTCTCTAGGTTGCTGCATTCCCAGGCTGGCTGCCCTGTCATTGTTCCCCTTCAAAACCCAGTGTGTGTTTTACACTTATGGTACCTTTGGATTCGGATGCTAAGTTTTCACTGGCAGTGAAACTTCACCTGCGTTTATGTTTTATGACTTCTTCGTTTGAAAAGGTGGATTTAGGTACCCGAGTTATTCCGTACTTAAAATTTTTTCCCAGTGATTCACCGAGTGTCTGCTTTTAAATTTAAACGAAATAACGTTTAAATAAGCTGGTAAAGGCAGTTCCTCAGTCATACTGACCACATTTCAGGAGACTCGGGACAGATAAGACAGCGGTTTATTAAATACAGCCTGTGGGAGGCAGACACTGCACCCCCAGAGAGCCACACAGGAGTTGGACTCAGGAATAGAATGAATAGGCCACAGCCGTGGGAGGCAGGCTGTGTCGTAACAAGAGGTTGAGGTGACCCCTGGTTCCTGCAGGAGGATGTGATTGGTTTGTTTGAATAATTAGTCCACCAAGAGGGCACAAGCTAGCGCTGTGCCCGGTCCCCGTGATACGGAGGGTTATGGGGCCAGGGGAGGGTGGGTGGGCGGAAGACATGTGGTTAGACCATTATGGGTCCTTCCAAGACCAGATAGCGAGGCAGCCCATAATACTGAACCCTTTTATAAAAAGTGGAGGTTTCATGGACATACAGTGTAATATTAGCTTCAGGTGTAGGACATGGTGAGTCAGTATTCACGTATGTTGCAAAGCGATCACCGTCTAGTTAATATCCGGCACCTTACATAGTAACAAAAATTTTTTTTTCCAGTGTGAGAACTTTTTAAAAAAATTTTTATTTAGTTTTGAAGGAGAGAGGGATGGAGTGTGAGTGGGGAAGGGGCAGAGACACAGAACCTGAAGCAGGCCCCAGGCTCTGAGCTGTCAGCATGGAACCTGACACGGGGCTCGAACTCACGCACTGTGAGATCGTGGCCTGAGTGGAAGTCAGACGCTTAACTGATTGAGCCACCCCTAGGTGCCCCTCTGTTGTGAAAACTTTTAAGATCTAGTATTTTAGGGGCACCTGGGCGACTCAGTCAGTTAAGCATCCGACTTCCGCTCAGGTCACGATCTCACGGTTTGTGAGTTCGAGCCCCACATCGGGCTCTGGGCTGACAGCGCAGAGCCCCCTTCGGATCCTCTGTCCCCCTCTCTCTCTGGCGCTTATGCTGTCTGTCAAAAATAAACAAACATTAAAAAAAAAGATCTATCTTAACAAGTCTCAAATACCCAATACAGTACCATGAACCACAGTCACGCTGTGTGTTACATCCCTAGAACTTATTTACTTTATAACTAGAAGTTCGTACCTTTTGACCCCCTTCGTTGGCTCTTCCTCCCCCAGACTCCGCCCTCAGCAACCACCCACCTGTTCTGTGTATCCGTGAGCTCAGTTTTTGTTCTTGTTTTTTAGATCCACATACGAATGAGATCATACGGTGGTCTCTGTCTCTCTGACTTACGTTACTTAGCGTAATGCCCTTGACATCCATCCATGCTGTCCCACAACCTTAATTTCCGGTCCTCATACCACACGTTGCCACATGTGCCTGGGCGGTGCCACAGGGGACAGTGCCCATCTCTAGGATACGTTCATTATGTTTCTGGTTTATAGTCTTCATGCACACACAAGAACGTGACTTCCAGGGGCACCTGCGTGGCTCAGTGAGTTAAGCGTCTGACTCTCGGTTTCCGCTCCAGTCATGACCTTGCGGTTCGCGAGTTCGAGCCCCGCATCAGGCTCTGCCCTGGCAGCTCGAAGCCTGCTCGAGATTCTCTCTCTCTCTCTCTCTCTCTCTCTGCTCTTCCCCCACTCGTCTCTGTCTCTCTCAAAAATAAATAAATAAACTTAAAAAAGGAAGAAGAACGTGATTTCCATAAGGACAAAGATTTCTCATCTACCCTCGGTGCCTAGAACGGTGCCTGGCTCACACCAGGTACTCCGTGAAGGCTCAGGGCTCATGGATGAAAACAGGAAGACCAGTAGAGGCTTGATCCTTCCCAGCCTCGCCCAGAGTGTGGACCTGAGCCACGAGCCCTAGGGGCTTGGGACCGTCCCCTCCACTCTAGCCGTCACATCACACCCTAACCCCTGGGTCCTGATCTCTCCTCCCCACGCCCCCTCCAGGAGCTGGAGAACCACCTTGAGGCAGAGGAAGGGGCGCGGCAGAAGCTGCAGCTGGAGAAGGTGACCACGGAGGCCAAGCTGAAGAAATTTGAGGAAGATGTGGTACTCTTAGAAGATCAGAATGCCAAGCTGAGCAAGGTCAGTGGCCTGTGAGCCCCCAAGGGCAGAAGGCGGTGGGTGCACTGGGGGCGCGTGGGTCTCTCTCTCTGTCTTCCCCACCTCTAGGGGTCTCCGGCTCGCAGTCTCAGCCGTGTCTCCCTTTGACCCTTTCTCTTCATACCTTCGCCCAAGCAGGTATTTATTGAGCAACTACTGTGTGTCATTATCTATCGCTGATAGATCGTAAGACCCCCCCACCCCCAGAGCCACGTGACTGAAGACAAGCACCATTTCATTACGTCCCATCCTTCTGTGGGTCAGCCATGGCTCTCTTAGGCAGTCACTGTGATGTGGCTGGGTGTGGACGTCTCGTGTCTCGATGCTCCTTTGTGTGGCTTCTGTCCCCACAGGAGAGCCTGAATTTCTTAAAAAAATTTTTTTCTTTAACGTTTATTCATTTTTGAGAGACAGAGACAGAGCGTGAGGGAGGGAGGGGCAGAGAGAGGGAGACACGGAATCCGAAGCAGGCTGCAGGCTCCGAGCTGTCAGCACAGAGCCCGACACGGGGCTCGAACGCACAAACTGTGAGATCTTGACCTGAGCCAAAGTCGGACGCTCAACTGACAGAGCCACCCAGGCGCCCCGAGCCTGGATTTCTTAACTGACAGCTCAGGGCTCTGAGGAGGGGAAGCAAAAGCCTCCAGGCCCTGTAGGAGCCTCTGGAACTGACAGAGCACCACTTACGCTGAATTCTATAGATCAGGGGTTGGCCTGGCAAATACTGTCCGAAAAAGGCCAGACAGCAACTATTTCACACTCTGAAGGCCTCTGTGTTTCTGTCACAAGCACTCACTTCTGCCGTTATAGCGTGAAAGCAGCCGCAGATCGTACATGGTCCAACAAGCGTGACTGTATCCCAATAAAACTTTATTTATAAAAATAGGTGGTGGGCCAGATTTGTTTGACCTGCACACTGTGGTTTGCAGACCGCTGAACTTAAAGCCCTCATAGGCTCAGCCCAGATTCACTGGGTTTAAATTAGACTCTGTCCCTGGGTGGGGACGTGGTGAAGAATCAGCCGCCACCTTTAACCCGTCACAGCGAGGACTAGGCTAGGCACAGGGTGTATGGCAATGGCATTGAACAAACTAGAAAACCATTCATGTCCTCACAGGGAGATGGGGGAAAGGGATGCTAGATGAGTCACCACAGGGAATAAATATAATCACATATCGTGCACAGTTATGAACTGTTAGGGACGCCTGCGGTTACGCTCAATCCGTTAAGCATCTGACTTTGGCTCAGGTCATGATCTCACAGTTGGTGAGTTCGAGCCCCACGTCAGGCTCTGTGCTGTCAGCGCAGAGCCCCTCTTCAGATCCTCTCTTCCCCCTTCTCTCTATTGCTACCCCGCTTGCTCTCTCTCTCTTAAAAATAAATAAACATTAAAAAAACTGTTAGAAAAGAAGACTATGAAGGTCCCTCCACTGTTCTAGGGGTAGTCAGGGAAGCCTTCCTCGACGCAATGAAGCCTGAGATGAGAGGTCAAAGACGCACAGGGGTTTTCTGGAACGTTCCTTTGGTGCAATGGCTATTCTATTCTTCTCTGTTCTATTTCTTTCTTTTCTTTTAAGTTTTTTAATGTTTATTTAATTTTGAGAGAGAGAGAGAGAGAGAGAGTGTGAGCAGGGGAGGGACAGAGAGAGAGTGAGACACAGAATCCGAAGCAGGCTCCAGACTCCGAGCCGTCAGCCCAGAGCCCGATGCGGGGCTCGAACCCACGAACAGCGAGATCATGACCTGAGCCGAAGTCGGGCGCTCAACCAACTGAGCCACCCAGGCGCCCCTCTATTTCTTTTTAAGGGTAGTGCGAACACAGTGCATTGGTTTCCAGAAGCACTCACGGTCTGAAAAGTGCTTCTCAAATGCTAACGTGTGCAGGAATCCCATGGAAAGCTTGTTAAAATGCAGATTCTGATCCCGTGGGTCTGGGGTGCAGCCTGACATGCAGCATTTCCAAAAAGCTCCCGTTCGGTGCCGATGCCGCTGGCCCACAAACCATACTCTGAGCCGTATGGATCCAGGAGGCACTGGAGTGCGCCCACCCTGCAAGGATGTTCGCGCAGTGTTGTTTACAATCGCAAAAACGAATTGGAAGGAACCTCAGTGCCCACGAGTGGGGAGGCGGGTCAATGAATGCCTGGGGTGCATGGAACCATGGCATCTACCTGGTGGTTACTGGGTGTGAACCAGTGGGCGGGTCTGCGGACCCAAGAGAGACGGGAGAGGAGGGAAGGGTTTGGGAGCAGAAGGCTCAGGGAAGGGTGGAGATGAGCGTGGAGGGGGGCTGTCCTGACCGCCCCCACACTCCCCACGTCCCTCAGGAGCGGAGGCTGCTGGAGGAGCGTCTGGCCGAGTTCTCGTCGCAGGCGGCGGAGGAGGAGGAGAAGATCAAGAGCCTCAATAAGCTTCGACTCAAATACGAGGCCACGATTGCGGACATGGAGGGTGAGCGCCGCCCCCCGGGAAGCCGCGGGGGCCTGCACAGGGGGGGGGGGGGGGGGGGGCCTGTGCGCGCTCCGCGGCTCGCGGTGGTGGTGGGGACGTTGGAGGAGCCTCCTGCGTTATGGGGGGCGGGGTGGATGTTGGGTGAGTCTCCTGCGCTATGGAGCCTCAGCGGTCCAATCTGTTAAATGGGGGTCAGGAAAGATGGCTCGAGACAGATTGGGTGCCTTCCCAGCTCTTAGGTTATTTCTGTCACTCTCGATGGCCGTTCTCTTGCTCTCTCCATGGCGTCTTGGGTCACCCTCTCTCTCTGACCGTCCCACTGTTTTAGACACACGGTGGGCTCTCCGCCCCTTGCTATGGACTCAGTCACAGAAGCAGAAGGGACAGGGTGCAGGAGGAGGCTGCGGAGGCAGAGGGGGAGGACAGGGCAGAGACAGGCACTGAGAAGGAGCAGGGCAGTCACTTGGGGGTGAGGAGGAGAGGACAGCACCTGGGGGTCCGGCCCAGGGTCCGCGAAGTTGGAAAGAGGGGGGCGCAGAGGGAGATGCCTTGTGGCGGCTTTCCCCCCCACCCTGGCCAGTGCCGGGGGCGGGGCCGCGGGTCTCGGGGAGCCGCCGGGCGCTGGGGGCTAGCGCCCCGGTGCATGACCCCCCACTCCTGCCCCCAGACCGCCTGCGGAAGGAGGAGAAGGGCCGCCAGGAGCTGGAGAAGCTGAAGCGGCGGCTGGACGGGGAGAGCTCGGAGCTGCAGGAGCAGATGGCCGAGCAGCAGCAGCGCGCGGAGGAGCTGCGGGCCCAGCTGGGCCGCAAGGAAGTGGAACTGCAGGCCGCCCTGGCCAGGTGCGGGGGGCGGGGACGCGCGCGGGGCACCCCAGGGAGCCTCCACCCGCGCCCTCGGAGCCTCAGTGTCCCCTCCTGTAAACTGGACCTGGCGAGAGCCCCAAGGCCGCCTGGTTAAGGAGAGGGCGGACCGAGGCCCCGCCGGTCTAGTAACTTGCCCGGGTCTGGGCGCGAAACAGGATCAGCCGTGATCCAACAAGTGCCATGCCCGCGAGAGGAATCGCATTATTAGAATCCCGGGCATTCGCAATCAGGGAACACCTACTGTGTGCCAGATTCTGTGGTCGGTATTGCGAATGCCTTTTACCCGCTGTGCTTCACGCCGTCGCAGAGCCCTTGGTTATCGGTGCAGCTCAGGGTCAGAGTCGTTAAAACGTGGGGAAAAGCGTGTGTCTCACCATCAGCGGTGCACGAGGTGGTGTGCGTGGTTAAGAGCGCGCACCGTTGTCTGGCCCCCGGGTTCACGCTCGGGCCCCGCCCACTTCTGCCCACCTGACCTCGCTCCTGGGGCATCGCCTCCCTGGCCTCGGTTTCTTCGTCGGGAAAATGGGTGAGATTGCAGGAGGTGCCTGGGTGACTCAGTCGGTTGTGTCAGACTCTTGATTTCAGCTCAGGTCATGATCTTACAGCTCGTGAGTTCAAGTCCTGTGCGGGGCTCTGCGCCGACAGCTCGGAGCCTGCTTGGGATTCTCTCTCTCTCCCTCTCTCTGTCCCTCCCCCACGCATGCTCTCTCTCGCTAAATTAAAACCAAAAAAAAATTTTTTTTTAAATGGGAGTGATTTCTTCTAAGGTTAGTGTGGGGATTAAATAAGAAAGTGCTGATAAAACGCTGGGTGTCCCCTAAGCCCTCGGCTAACGCGGGTGTGTCTGTTACTGTTTCTCCGTATTTTATTCACCCATTATCATTATGTTTTCTTTTTTTTTAATTGAGGGCAATTTTATGTAACCATTTTATTTTTTGTAAAGATTTTATTTAAAAACTTTTTTTTAATGTTTATTCATCTTTGAGAGAGAGAGAGAGACAGAGTGTGAGTAGGTAAAGGGCAGAGAAAGAGGGAGACACAGAACCCGAAGCAGGCTCCAGGATCCGAGCTGTCAGCACAGAGCCCAATGCGGTGCGCAAACTCATGAACCGTGAGATCATGACCTGAGCCAAAGTCAGATGCTCAACGGACTGAGCCACCCAGACGCTCCTAAAAGATTTTATTTTTAGACAATCTCCACACCCGCTGTGGGGCTCAAACTCATGACCCCGAGATCAAGAGTCACATGCTCCTCGGACTGAGCCAGCCCGGTGCCCCCATAACAAGACCATTTTGAAGTGTACCATTCAGTGGCGTTTGTGGGTTCACACTATGGTGCAGCCATCACCTCTGTATTGTTCCAGAACATGTTCATTCCCCCAGAAGGAAGCCCAGTACCTGTCAGGCAGTCCCGGCCCGTGACCCCCTCCTGCAGACCCCGCACCAGTCTGCTTCCTGTTCACATGGGACTTGCCTGTTCCTGATAGTTCACATAAGAGGAAACACACAACATGTAGCCTTTTGTGCTCTTATGATTATTTTTATTGCCATCCTCCCAGCAGCTCCGTGAAGTGGGGTGTCGTGTCCTCTTACGGACCAGGAGCCTGCAGCTCAGAGAGGTTGTCACTTAACCAGGGCAGGTGGCCGAGCAGGGGATACAAACCCTGGGCTGCATGACTCCAATGTGTAATTTCTTTCTTTCTTTCTTTCTTTCTTTCTTTCTTTCTTTCTTTCTTTCTTTCTTTCTTTTTTGAGAGGGAGAGAGAGAGGGCACCAGTGAGCTAAAGGCAGAGAGAGAGAGAGAGAGAGAGAGAGAGAGGAAGAGGGAGGGAGAGAGAAAGAATCCCATGAGGGGCAGAGAGAGGAAGAGAGGGAGAGAGAAGTGGGGCTCAAGCTCACCCCATGTGGGACTCGAACTCACAAAACCATGACATCATGACCTGAGCCAAAGTCAGATGCTTCACGAGGGAGCCCCCCAGGTGCCCCATGAGCAATTTCACCCACGGTCCATGCTGTCCCTCCATTCGGCTTCTCTTTGCAAGAGGCCGTGTCTCACGGGGGCCATGAGGCAGGCTGCTGGGGTCAGCTCTGCCACTCGCTGACCGTGTGACCTGGGCAAGTATTTTCCCACTCTGTACTTCAGTTTCCTCATTCGGTGTAGTCATTAAATGAGACGATAAAGCAAAGGGTCATATGTGGCAGGAGCTCGGTAAGCGTCCCTGTGGTTACTCGTGGTGTCATTCCCATTTTACAGCTGAGAAAACCGAGGCTCTGAGTACTGAGCATGTGCCCAAGGGCTGAGCTGGGATTTCACCCCGGGATGGGCCGCCCCCAAATCCACACCAAGCCTCCCCGCCCCCAGAAATCATCCCTGCCCTCTGCCTGTCCCCGTACCAACTCCGTGGCCCCTGTCCACCCCCAGGGCGGAGGAGGAAGGCGGGGCCCGGGCCCAGCTGCTCAAATCCCTGCGGGAGGCGCAAGCAGGGCTGGCCGAGGCCCAGGAGGACCTGGAGACCGAGCGGGCGGCCAGGGCCAAGGCAGAGAAGCAGCGCAGGGACCTGGGCGAGGAGCTGGAGGCGCTACGGAGCGAGCTGGAGGACACGCTGGATTCCACCAACGCGCAGCAGGAGCTCCGGTGAGGCCGGGCTGCCCTGCGGGTGGCACAGCCGGGGTCTGTGAGGGGCAGGGGCGGGGCGAGGGGCGGTGGGGAGAAGGACTTGAGGCGCGAGCCCTCCATGGACGCAAAGGTTTAGCCATTCGCCAGTTGATTATGGAACATCAGCTCTGCCCCTAGTCTGGGCCAAGCTGGGGGAAGGAGATGAGTCAGACACAGGGGTTTGCCAGGAACTGCCCGGCAGATTCTGCAAAGGGACCCAATCGAGAACAAAGTGTGCTCTAAGGGAGCAGCACAGGGCATTGTGGGTGGAAAGAGAAAGCCCCTAAACCGTGTCTGTGAAGGAAGTCCAGGAAGACTTCCTTTGAGAAAGGGCCTTTTGGGTAGGGTTTTGAAGGATGTGCAGGAGTTCGCCCTCAAAGCCACACTCCTCCCACGGTTCCCGTCCAGACCCCTTAGGGAATGTAGAGTGAGGTCCTCCTCCTTGAAGGGAAACAATCAAAGGAGGCACACCCAGCTGTCAAGAGGACTCCCCCAAAGGCCCTGCCTCTCTTCTGAAATGCCGTTCCCTGTTCGCCTCCTTCAATGCAAGGTCCAAGAGGGAGCAGGAGGTGACGGAGTTGAAGAAGGCTCTGGAGGAGGAGACGCGTGTTCACGAAGTGGCGGTGCAGGAGCTGAGACAGCGCCACGGCCAGGCCCTGGGAGAGCTGGCCGAACAGCTGGAACAGGCCCGGAGGGTGGGTTGGGACAGGAAAGGGGGCTTCTGAGGGGCTGGGGGAGGGGGAGCCAGGAGCAGAGGAGGGGCTTCCTGGTTCTAGGCCGGCTCGTGTTTCCTCGTGTGTCCATTTTGCTCTTGTTTCATTTCATTCGGCAAACGTGGAGCAAATACCATGTTCTGGGGGTGGTCGTGGGGACCCCGTAGTGTATCAGACTGCTCTCTGTGGTGGAGCTCACATGTTAGCGGGAGAGGCAAAGACTGAACAATATCGACACATTCATGATATATACTGGGGGAAACATACATCTGAGTGGAAAACTGAAGGAGGTGGGGGGTGAGCCATCCGGTGCTACAGGGAAGCATGTTTCAGGCCGCCGGAACAGCCAGTGCAAAGGCCCTGGGGCAGGAAGGTGTCTGGGGATTTAAGGACCAGTGAGGCCTTCCAGGCAGAGGGATCAGCCAGCGCCAAGACCCTGAAGCAGGAGTTTGCCCGGTGGAGGGAGGAAGCATAAATCTTCGCCGGTCTCTCTCCCTTGCCAGAGCAAAGGTACGTGGGAGAAGACCCGGATGGCCCTGGAGGCCGAGGTGTCTGAGCTACGGGCGGAGCTGAGCAGTCTGCAGACCTCGCGTCAGGAGGGCGAGCAGCGCAGGCGCCGCCTGGAGTCCCAGCTGCAGGAGGTGCAGGGCCGGGCCGGCGACGGGGAGCGGGCGCGAGCAGAGGCTACAGAGAAGCTGCAGCGAGCCCAGGTGAGGAGCGGGGCAGCCGGGCCACCTCTCTGGGCTTCGGTTTGCTCCACGGCAGCCCTGTTGTCCCTTCCAACTCCTCCAACACAGTCACGCATGAGTAGCTAGTGTTTGGTGAGCAAATACTCTGTACCGAATATCCTGTGTATTTCACCAAATCTTCCCAACTTCTCCTTTGAAGGAAGTGCTAATATGGTTCCCATTTTACACACAAGGAAACCGAGGCCCAGGGAGGTGAAGCTGATTGTCCAAGACCCCTCCGGAGCCTAAAGTCAAACCCAGGCATGCCTGAGCCTGTACCTCTTAACCCTACCATGACTCCCACCCTCCTAGAAGCCGTAAACAATCCGTATTCTGATTGGAAAAGCCCAGTGTGAACGCATGGAACTGTGTGGGGACAATATCACACTGTGACTGTTTAAAGAAATGCAGCCCTTTTAAAAAATGTTTACTTATTTTTGAGAGAGAGAGACGGAGCACAAGCGGGGGAGGGAAAGAGAGAGAGGGAGACACAGAATCTGAAACAGGCTCCAGGCTCCGAGCTGTCAGCAGAGAGCCCGATGGACGCGGGGCTCGAACCCATGAACTGCGAGATCACGACCTGAGCTGAAGTCGGACACTCAACCGGCGGAGCCACTCAGGCGCCCCAAGAAATGCAGGCTTTTAAATTTTAATCTTACTATGCTTTTTAGCTAAATGACCGATACTTTTGCGGTACTGAGAATATACAAAGAAGCAGAAAAAACGAAGGGAAGAGCGAATTGTAATTGTCCAACTCCTCCAGGGGAAAACATCATTACAGTTTTTAGTGTCCAAATTAAAAGTAGTGCGTTGGGGTTAGGGTAAAAAATTAAGCTGCTATCACAAAGGCATCCCGGAATCCATCAGCTTAAATAAAAGGCATGTGTCTTTCCCTCTCGAGAAGGAGACTCAGGGCAGGCAGTGGAGGCCAGCAGGATACTATGCTCCACGAGGTCAGCCCAGATCCCGGTTCCTTAGTTTGTCGATTTGATGACCCCTGAGAGCATTGTCGTCTTCAGAGTCGGATCTGGGTTATGGGCACATCTGGGATCCTGCTTAGGAAGCGGGAAAGAGAGGAAGTGACAAAATGTGCATCCATCACTCTGCTTGTATTCCATTGGCCATAACACAATCTGAGCCACCCAGGCACCCCGAATATTTTTTTTTAATTTTTTTTTGACGTTTTATTTATTTTTGAGACAGAGAGAGACAGAGCATGAACGGGGGAGGGGCAGAGAGAGAGGGAGACACAGAATCGGAAGCAGGCACCAGGCTCTGAGCCATCAGCCCAGAGCCCGACGCGGGGCTCGAAATCACGGACCGCGAGATCGTGACCTGAGCCGAAGTCGGACGCTCAACCGACTGAGCCACCCAGGCGCCCCCCGAATATTTTTTTAA